GGCGCCAAGCTTCCTTTCCCCCCTACAAATCGACTTTGTAGGGGGCGGCAAAAAATTGGGACAGTATTTTAATATGGGACAGTGCCGAAATAACCCATGCACATTCGCCTGTTAACGCCGCGCAAAATCGCTCTTTTGCATCGTAAATTTCGCTCAACAATAACGCCGACAATAATGCCCAATTACTATTTTTCGTCGTCGCATTGCCCTATAAAGCTATAAATTAATAAAACTTCTATATATCTATAGATTAATTAAATCGCTAATTAACTTACTAGTACTAATACCCGTAAATTACTCCCTCGTCCCCTATACTAATATAACCGCTACCCAGCAGTATTTCAACGCGCACGACCGGTATAATTCTCTTAAATCTAGTAGTAACTATAGGAAGCCTCCTTTTATAAGGGATATTGCACGTATAATTGGGGAGTCTTGTAGCTTAATCGGTCGGTACGCGAAGTCGCTACGGGAGACTAGTAAACCGGCGGTATCATTACAGCTACGAAGGCGCCCGCGGTCGTTGACATACAATAAGGAGGAGGCTATTGTTGCGTACGTAATCTTTTACTTTAGAGGGAGATTCCCTACATTGCAATTGATAGTAATAATTACTATTAATTACTTAAAATTAATAAGGGTGAATCCTCCCGCGACCGAGCTTAATAAACGTTAGTTTATAAGGTTTATTACCGATTATCCGGAGCTACGCTCAACGACGTATCGCACTATAGATTTTAAACGTTATTTCTAGGAGTTGAATACCGAATTAGTAAACGACTAGTTCGATAAGTATAAGGATATCGCCGCCACCATCCCTCCTTATGACCGTTGGAATAGCGATAAGTATAATACCTATATTAGTTGCGTATTAAATAGTTGTATGAAGGTTATTATATTGAAAGAGTTGGGGGATAAAAGGAAAGTTAGTAAGAGAGAGAAAGAGAGAGGGGGGTTGGATAGGAGAGATTTTACTTAATTAAATATAATCCCTTCTAATTGCAGTATACTAACGGTTAAATTCAGCTAGAGATATCTAATTTAGCTAACAGAGAGTCATACACTCTAATTACTAGTATAAACGCTATAGGCAATTATATCCCTATTTACCTTATTTTTAAAACTAACCCAACCGAGGAATTTACTATTAACGACCTCCCTAGCGATATACGGTTTATAAAGTTACTTACCGGCTTTTTGAATATAAAGATTACACTCAATTAATTAAAATATTTCAATCTATATAGCTTTGAGGTATCGCTAACGTTTAAAAAGACCGGGTATAGCTTTATAGATTAGTTCGGTTGCGATTAGTATAGATATAATATTAACGGCCGTTAATTAGAGGATTATATTACTAGTATTAGTAAAAGGCGGCTCCCTAATATAAATCCTATATATTAATTATTTATTATTAATAGTTTTAGTAACTATTGTAATATAGTAGTTAAATAGTATATTAAGGTATTTAATATTTATATCCTCGCTTTACCGCCGTACTCTACCCATATTATATAGCCGCTTAATGTGGGAGTCTTTTCCTCTTTTAAATTATATTACTAGAAGGCGCTTTGCGAATTCGTTCAACAGGGCGAGTATAACTTCAACCGTATAACTTTTATCCGTAAATTCAACAACATTATCACTAATAACTTTACGGTTTACAATATTATAGATGGATTTAAAAATACTAAACTCTAGCCAATCAATAAATAAAGGGTATTATTACAAATTAAAGCTAAATAATACTCTTTTGAGCTTAACCCTACCTATCCCAATATAATACTATACGAGGATCGGTTTAAGAAGGCTATTAAGGTTATTAACCGTATTATTAACCGTTATTCTTATACGTTCAACTCTCCTACCCGTATTAATTACCCTTACGTATTCTAAATTATAAAGGAAGTTATACTCAATTATAATAAAATTTAAAAAAAAAACCGGTATAACCGCGAGAAGGAGGCTAACTTCAACCGTCGTATAAAGAGGAGAATATATAAAATCCCTACTAGTAGATTATTTCTATTTCTTTCAAAAGACCAGCTCAATACTATAGTAATCGAGAGAATTCAACAAGAGATGCAAAATAAGATAAAGCGGCAAGAGCGAGCCATAAAAAGAATTAATAACGTTACACAAAAGCAACTCAAAGAGTAATAGAGAAATAATAAAGAAGGGGGGAAGCCAGCTAAAGTTATATAGAATATTTAATTTAAAAAATATAAGAAGGATTACTAGTAGGAGTATATCCTAGTTTATAATAACGATATACTTAATATAGAGGAGAATCCCCCTTATTAAATAGATAAAAAGGGTAAGCCGTTGGTTTACTAGCAAGCCTAGTACTATATAGAGCACCCCCTACTAATTATTTCTAATAATAAGGATATTGAAATTATTATTAGCCACCAGCCAGCCGCCTAGTCAAAAACCTTTTTTTAAATCGTTAGAAATCCCCGCGTACAAGTATAATTAAAGGATAAGATAGATAAGATTCTCGTTAAAGATCTCTATAAGGATAATATCGCTATAGTAACGGGCAAGAAAGTTAATAACGAAGAGGAGGAGGAGGAGGAGGATAACGACGATAGGGATAAGGAAGGTGGGGAATTTCTACTTAGTAAGAAGAGGACTAAACTAACTAGTTAATTAACTAAACCCCTAATTATATTAATTTTTAAGAAGAAGTTTAAATAGCGTATACCCCTTACTATTAATATAACCTCATTGCCTAAATTTAGTGGTCCTTCCTTAGTAATTACCCCTATAATTCCCCTCCTCTTACGAGAATGTAGATTCGAGGATATTATATAGGGAAGTACAATAAAGCTATTAATCGAAGGCATAGTCCGACTTAGAATAAGGTATTTAAGCGGGCAACGGCCGGGGTAAGCTTCGTTAAGGTAGGAGGAGATAGTCTAAGGTATATACAAGTAAAGGGGGACTTCAATTAACCAGTACAATACTATAATGTACTTAAATAAGTAAAATAAATTATTAGATCTATTATTACATATATACCCTTCCTATTTAGGTAGTCTACTAGGCTTCCCAATAACATTATATTAATAAATCCCCATGTGCAAGTAGGGTGTTGAGTATATGGATGGGTCACTTTGCTAGTAAATTTCTATGTGGGGTGTCCCATATTAAAATACTGTCCCAATTTTTTGCCGCCCCCTACAAAGTCGATTTGTAGGGGGGAAAGGAAGCTTGGCGCCCAGAACCCCCCAAGTAATGAGATGGTGTTTCTGCAAGGTCAAGACTTGGAAAAGGGAACTGGTTGAAAACGAAGGCGTAACAAGCCCCTGTCGTTGCGGGGGGTGTGGTCCCCGTAATGGGCCGCTATTGTCGCGCTCGGCTAACGCTACCCTGGCTGCAGACAGTGCTATACTGTCATGGCAGGCGAAAGTCAGCTATAATAACTTAGAGGTAAGCTTTGATGAAAAGCTTCGATGAAAGCTTGGTAGCGGCTTCCAGGTTGGTAAGAGAGCACGCAATCACTTTCCCTTTTCTGATGTCGACGGGACGGGAATACAAGAGGATAAGCTTTTATCCATTTGTTGACATCACAAGAAACGAATGCGACATCGTTCAAGATTTCCAATCTTCCCCTGCATTGTTTCTGTTTCCTTTGGAGGCTCAGATGAGGTAGAGGGATTACGCGTCCTCTCTGTTGATCAGATGTGCCGCCGTTGTTCACTTCATCGAATGTTCGGTTGCTGCCAGGATGCTTTACAGGTACCTACCTTCCATGCTTGCGGTTCCTCCTGCCTTGGAGTTCGGTCTTGATCTTCCCAACCTGGTTCCTTCGAATATCTTGTTAGCAAGTGCATCTGGAGAACATGCAGTGCTCCAAGTGTGACGATGTGGCTGGAATCGAACTCTGGTTTATCCAATTCTCAGCACCTATCAAGACTCACAGCAAAGCCGCTCGAAAATAGTCCAAACTGCCAAGTGAATCACCACACGTGTCAGTGTAGGTTACCTCGTTCCGTGCAAGTCTAGCCGCATCCCAACCAGGCACCTCCCCGTCGCAGTCTTTGCAGCCATGCGCATGCGCACTGACACAAGTAAACAAACCCCTTTTCTTGGCAGCCCCTAGCAGCTCCACTTTTGACATCAAACAACTACATACCTCTTTTCCTCCGTTTTACCTTGACGAATTCGGCCCAACTTTCCGGATCTACTTCCTCAATTAGATCCAGACTCGGTTAGAAGTTACCTTGCCTTTTTCTGGGATCCACAACTACCAGAACACGAGCACGCACGACATACATTATAGCCCTGGAAAGTTTGTTAGCGTGGTTCTTGCCCCACATTCTCTCAAGGGGGGGGAATTGAAAGGCGGGACAAGTCTATCTACGAGCGCTGATTGGCTGAAATTGCTTGATGTCAAGGTGAGAATCGGCTAACAGAAGGGATTCAAGCACACACACAAACCCGCTTTATACCGGCTCAGACTCGTAAAACCATTGGTTGCATACCCTGTCGCCTTCCCTGTCAAAGACCCCTGTATGTACCGAGCTAACGAACTTTCCAGGGCTCAAGTGTAGTACTCGATTTCAACCATACCTACCTATAGGGATCACGTATATCCGTTTCATTCAGATTGAAATAGATAGTACTACTTACAACTACTACTACTACTACTACTACTACCCTACCTAGCACACCTGCGACAATATCATAACGACAGCCCTATCACCACTACACCCAACCAATTGATTCACACAGAGAGACCTACATGGTGTGCACAGACTTCTGACTCGGTAAGGTCTTGACTCTATCTTGGCGGGTGTCAGTATGGTTTAGAAACAACCACGAGATGGTGATGATGGTTACCTCTAAGAGGTTGATGGGACGATGGACAGAGTTCTGGGTCGTGTCGGCCAAGCGATGCTAGATCTTCTTGGCGATCGAGTGGATAGAAACATGTATATATACGGCGATCCACATCTTCTTGGGACGATCTGTTTACTACTGCTCATTACAGACATCATCATCATCTTCTTCACAGGCTTCTTTCGCTTCAACTTGCCGTTTTTTCTTTTCTCCGGTGGCTGGCCCCGAGATTCATTCTCCGATACCATTATTTAGAAACTTTTGATCAAGTTTCGCGACCGCTCGCTGGATATATCCCATTCACCCACTCAGGGCACAAGCCACAAACAAAACAAAACAAACAGTAACCCAATCATTCAAAATGAAGTTCCAAGCTAGCCTCATCCTGGCCCTCCAGGTCTTGTCCGTCACGGCTCTCCCCCATCCCAAGAGGGAAGCCGTGGAAGCTGCTGCTTCCTCCACTGCCGTGGCATCTGCAACTGCTTCCGGTGTTGCCTCGGCTACTGCCACCACCGCGGCTCAAGCCACTGCTAACGCCGGTGCCGGCACCGGAGATAAAGAAGGTGAAGAGGAGGACGAGAACGAAGTCGAGCAAGCCGGCAAGTTCAACACCGTCATCACTCTTGGTGGTGGTGACGTCAAAACCGACACTCAATTCCCCGCCGGCGTAAGTTTTCGTCACCTCTCCCACTTCATTCACTCGTATCAGTGTCGTACAGTTGCACACGTCATTCCAGTGCGTCAGCGGCGATCAATAGATAACTAACCATCACCAATAACACAGACCGTCGGCGCCTTCGAAGTAGAGTTCAAAAACCCCGACGCCCGCCAACTCCGCGTAACAGAGAACAAGACCCCCGCCGCCGCTCCTCCCGGCTTCAAAGCCCTTGAACCCGTCTCCTACAAGGTCGAAATTGGCGGTGGTGCCTCCAAGGGCCTTACTCTCTCCAAAATCGATTACATCCGCAACGCCAACTCCACCGTCGACATCAGCCAGGCAAAGCTGGGCAAGCTCTGCAAGGAGACCAACAGCTTCGTGATTGGCGATGGTGTGGGTGAGACCGAGTTTGAGGCGGATGAGAATGAGGTGGCAACCAAGGTGCCGGATTTGGTTGGCGAGTATGCGCTTTTCGTGCCCGATGGAACCGCCGCTGCTACGCCTGCCGCCCCGGCGGGTGATAACAAGGATGTCGCAACGCCGGCTGCCTCGGCCGCTCCGGCTGCGGGAGCCGGTGATGCGGCTGGTGGTGTGACTGGAGGTGGTGTTGCTGCGGGTTGCGGTCCTGGAACTATTTGCAGGACGCTGGTTGATGGCTTGCTTTCGTTGATTGAGGGTGCTGCTGCCGGTGCTCAGACTGGCAAGGCCTAAGGGATAGCACGAGGTGACTGGGGTCTGAGTTTTTAGGACTCATTTATGGGAATGACTGTACGTTCATGGCTGTGTTTGTGGGTTATTAACTGGAGCTAGAGGTAGTGCGATGGCCGTTTTAAGATGTCTGTGACTTCATTACCTCTATTTCCCTAAGTGTCCTTGCGTGAAACAAGATGCGTTGTGTGCCAGATTATTTCGCCCTACAATCATAGAGGTAAGGTCACATGTACAGGTACCTCCACCTACGTTTGCTAGGAATTTGATAGAATAGAGGATTGAGTCAAACTGTACCTGCGCCTATTCTATAAGAGCAGCCGTTTATATCACCTGGGTTGATAATAGCAAGTTGCCTATGCACCTGCACTACACCATTCTCACTTGACTTCCCGCTTGGCAATGGAAGAATCATGGAAGCCTACAGGTGTATCATGTTACTGTTTCGTCCGGAACTATAAGGTTCTGCCTGGCGTGAATGGGTAGAGGTAGGCACCCAGTGAAGGAAGTGAACAGTGCAGTTGGCTGAACATCGTCCGACCGAGCATCCTACATGTAGGTACCGGACAGGCCCATTATAGCAGGCACGTTAAACAGCGGGGCCAGTAACTGGTGTCTCCTCCGTTTGTACAAGAGACCACATTCACTTCACTTGTCTGGGAGGCACCAGAAGTAGTGGGGTTCAGATTTTCCGCAACCCTCTATAAATTGTTTCGTTCCAATAATTTTTCTTCATTTTAAAACGAGCTACTGTCTACGTTCATCGTTGTCCCAGCAAAGCCTCTGGCAATATAGTCCACGCTTCCAGCTTTGCTTATACCCACTTCTCAGACGTCTTAACATCAGGTCTTAATATCAGGTCTCCATTGTAAGTACATCGTCTACCAGATATCATGCCGAAACTGACACTATTTTAGATATAACCACCCCCAAGATGAATCACCAAGACAACCAGAAACCTGCTTGCAAGCGCGTCGCTGACATGCTTGACGGCACGGTGAAGGAGGGACTCTACCGAGTTGAGCCTGAGCTCAAAAATCCTCGCAAGTTCCTGGAAGCGACCCAGGAGGCGCAACAAGTCGCTCTTAGAACACTCTACGAGGACAAAGAAGTCAGAAGTCCGATCTCCCAGGGTGCCATGGAGTGTCATATCACAACAGCACTATGGAAGAAGTACTTCCCACATGGCCGAGGAAGCCCAGCGGAACCGCTCCGGGCCTTTTGCGAGGAGCTGTGCCCAAATCCAGACCAGCGTTGGGCCTGTTACCTGAACCGGAGACTAAAAGAGGAAGAGGATCGCAACCCGCGATCACAAAAGCGACCACTGGAGGAGAGCATCATCACCTCAACACCACCATCCCCGTACAAAACAGCTCAGAACTTAAAGCAGGTTGAGGCTGCAGTTACTGAGACAAACCCACAGCTTTTATCCTCCCCCCGCAAGACACCTGTAAGCTTCCGCTTGCCTCCGGCGAACGAAGGCTCAGGTAAGGGTTCAAGCTCGTCCCGTGGCACCAAGCGGGCCGGGACAGACGCAAGCGATCCCAACGGCAAAGGCAAGCCGGCCGACACCCAAATGTCCCTGGCCAGTACAACACATACTTCCACTCCGCAGTCGCCGCCCAAGCCAGAAGTCTCACAACTTCGGTCACCTACCCTTTACCAGGACATCCTCACAGCCAAGTGTCTTCAGGAAAGGATGGGTGTGAGATGGTTCCCATCAGACGACAACACAAACGTGAAAGCCGTGTTGATCGGCGACGTATACGTTGCAGCAAGTGCCACGTTTATGAGAGACCATACCGTGACCGAGGTAAAGGAGGAGCTGGCTCGAAAGATCCTGGATACTTGTAGCGAAATGCGGCTTTACTGCATCAGCCGGACGAGGAAAAGGGAGACGTGGGTCGAGTTGCAACGCCTGCTTTCATAGCAGGTAGAGATAGTCGAGTGTCTGGTGTGGGTTAGTGCGCGGGGTGTTTACTTCAAGAAATGAAAATAATTCAACTTCAAAATGTGCAGTGATCCGATGGTGACAATCTACTGGGCGTCGAAGACGGGGAACCAAGTCGGTACCTACCTCTAGGTACCTATGTTGGTTTCGTGGGTATTCATGTTGGTGTTCCCTCCGCCCAGTGACAGTGAAAGTTGCTCAGGTTCATGCCTCGATCTGATGGCTTGGAGCTAAAAGTGGACGACTTCGGCAATGCCTTTTCACGTAGGGCGAATCATTATGAGGGTGCTCCTCGGACCCGCCCCCTGATCTTCGCCGTGCTCCCAGAAGTTGTTGCTGTCATCAAGAGAACGCTGCTGGGACAGGTGGCTCCCTCTGACAGAGGTCCCCTGACCCCTGACACGGAGCTGATGGTACTCGAACTTAGCGTATTCTTCCCAGAATTGCTTGCTTGCGGTAAGGCCGACTGTCCGCGCTTTCGAGTTGGAGCTCAATGGGAATACGGGGAACGGTTGACGTTGCCAGCTCCTACAGCTTTGTTTGTTCATGACGGTCAAGCGTAAAATTCGGTTGCTTGTACTGCCGGAGTTGATTTTGCAGACTTTGCTGCTTCAAAACGGACTCTTGGTCAGCATTTTGTTGGCTGTGCCTAGAAGTCAGCTGTTGCCGTTGTTCCAGCAACGCAAAGCTCATTTATTTGGGTTTGGGGGCGGTTGGGGCTCATGTTGCGGGGACCGAACCTTGGAGCTTGGGGGTGCATGATGTATGGAGGCTGACAACAGGCACAACCCCGAAGTTCTGGTGCGAGCGAAATGGTGCTGGTGAGGCGGCTAAAGATGCCAAGTCATCACAGCAGGGCACACAGGTCGGTGGAGGATTCAACGGAGTAGAGAGGTAGTTGGAAGAATAAGTCCAAGGAAAAAAAACCAAGGAAAAAAACACCATAAAGCCCCGACCACAGCCCAGGCCAGTGAGGCCACCAATGCACCTTCCACTCAGCCAACAAGAAAGGGAAAGGGCAAAGGCAAAGCAATTGGTATCCCCATCTGGCAATATTTCCTCAACTCGCTTCCCGACACATCATTTCCGGACACATTTCTGTAGGGAACCTATCATCTCACTCCCATGCTACCTCTTATGATTGATGTCCCCTTAACATTTACTCTGTCCACGCCAGCCCATCTTAAATCTTCTTGAAATCTTCAGTCTGATCTTACAGTTCATCTAGAACCAGCAGCCACGCGTTGGGCGAGCGCCTTTTCGTCTGCAAGTCCGAGTCTTTCAAAGCAGTGCCTCTCGAGCGGCCGAGCCCCGACTCAAGCCGAGAGGTAGGAACTTTACCGCGCCACGAACGCCTCGTCCGTGTAACCAACGGCCGGATCAGCATGACTTGAGATAGAGGTACCTAATCTGAGAAGAGCGGACCTAGTGGTTCCAACGCCTGCTACGAACCAGGTCATCGCAGTCATTGCCTGTTAGCGCGTCGAACAAGGTCAACAAAAAGAAGAAGACTGAGGTAGAGGTACCCAGAGGTACCTATGTTATGTCCTGACCCAAGAATCCTGAAGTGCAAAGCATAGCTAGGTACCTTACATCTGAAATCGAACCATACGGAGGAGCTTTTCAAGGAAAATCGAGATAAGTGGAGTGTCTAATACGAAAAGAAGAAAAGAAAGAAAAAAAAAAAAAAAAAAAAAAAAAAAAAAAAAAAAAAAAAAGAGAAATAAAAGACAAAAAGAAAAGAAGAAGAAAAAACTGGAATATGATTTGGCGAGGATGCGGTCCTTGTTTTGCTTCTTGAATAGCCAAGGGAAGGGCCATGGGGATTGCGACCGCTTCGTGTGGGTTGTACATGCTCTCTACCGAGATCGAGATGGCTGTAAAAGCAGCTGTTCCCTTCCACTTAAATAGTATGAGAAATTTAACCCTCTTTTCCGCCACTTCTCATCAGAATTCCGCCCATAAACCTACGCCTTTACCCTCCGGTAAATGCAAGGTTGTGTCCTTTATGCTCAGTACCTCTATTGTTTCCATCTGTAATTAAGCGACTGGAGTAACAAGTGGTAAGAACGTTATGCCAGATTTAGGATAAATGGCAAGATCGCACTGCCCCATGGGAATCGAAGCGCATTTAGCCACAACGAAAGTGCCTTTCCCACAAAGCAATCTATATCTCGGCACTTCGATGCTGTTCCGTGCAAGGAATCACCACTTCCGGTGCAGATCTGCCATGGATCGGACGAGTGACATGGACTTGAAACAGAAACACGAAGCCACGTGAAACCCAAAGGTATTAGCCGTGAAATCATTGATGGAGATAGATTTCCCGCCGACACTCCCATCTCCCCAGTTTATGTTCCGTTATGCCGGCCACTCGTCGCATATAATGAGTATTGCGAGTATAAAACGGTCCAGGTCGACTTCCCGTGAAGTTGGGCATCCATCTCCACAATCCTACAAATCACAGACTTACAGTCCATCAGTTCAGCATCCCTCCTCTCACAATGAAGCTCATCACCACCTTCGCCCTCCTCCAAATCCCCATCCTCGCCTCCGCCAGCCCTCTCCAAGACCGTCAATCCTGTCCCAAAGTCCACATCTTCGGCGCCCGCGAGACCACCGCCCCGGCAGGCTACGGCACCTCAGCCGGCCTCGTCAACAGCATCGCCGCCGCCTACCCCGGCTCCACCAAAGAAGCCATCGTGTACCCCGCCTGCGGCGGACAATCCTCGTGCGGGGGCGTATCCTATGACAACAGCGCCTCGCAGGGGACTGCGGCGGTGGTGAGAGCCGTGAACAGTCTGAACAGCAGGTGCCCGGATACCAAGATCGTGCTGGTCGGGTATTCCCAGGGCGGACAGATTATGGATAATGCGCTGTGCGGAGGGGCTGGGGCGACACTGACGGGGAATGCGCTCAAGGCTGTGAAGGCAGCGATCTTTATGGGGGATCCGCATAATGTGGCTGGGTTGCCTTATAATGTTGGGACGTGTAGGGCGAAGGGGGTAAGTCGATGCAATTCTCATTAACGTGGAGGAGAAGTAAGGTGAGACGGAAGAAAAGTGAAGATGCTGACAGCGATGTTGGGTAACAGTTTGCGGCCCGCCCGAGTGGATTTCAGTGCTCCCCTGCGAGTCCATCGATTATCCAGAGCTATTGCGACTCGGCTGATCCGTATTGCTGCAATGGGAATGATGCGAACTCGCACCAGCAGTATGTCAACAAGTATGGACAGCAGGCGTTGGCGTTTGTGAAGAAGTTGGTGGATGCCGCTTGAGTTGAGGTTGGGTTCCTGGGTCGAGAGACAACGGCATGCATGGGTGAGGCTCATGCTTACGGCTTTTGGTGTTGGACAGCATGCTTGATGCATGGCCCCCAAATACGGGAGATGCACAGCACGATGTTGCAATGCAGGGTCCATGCCCTGAAGACGGACTACCTCCTATGTATTTTGTCTAATCAAATTTGATTTGCATCCAGTAGAGCTCTACACTAGGTGATAAGTGCGTTCATGAACTGGAATTTTTACTAGAAATTAAAGGCATATATCCTGTGCCCCCGTCCGATCATTACTCGTAGAGGTATCCAATCCATTTTTTGTAGGTCAATCACTTCCATTCGCCCTCCCAACCTGAACTCATCCACTCAGCTCTAGAAGAGACCAAGACCCATACCGACAGCGCCAACAACACCAGCCAGAACCATGACACCCGATCCCCTCACGTTAACCGCAGCACCCTCAGCAGGCTTGCCCGAAGCAGAAGCGCTGGCAGTCGCGCCCCCGGTGGCCGTTCCAGATCCAGTGGGGACAGCAATGCCAGTCGACGTGGACGAGGGAGTAGAATCAGTGGAGGTCGAGCTACCACCCGAGGCCTTGTACTTCTCAACGATCCACTTGACACTATCCATGGTGTAGTTGGCAAAGTAACTGCCGTGCACGGTGAGGGACGAGCCAGAATCGCAGTAAATGTCGCCCGTGTCGCACCAAGAGGCAATGTGCGAAGCGAAGGGCAGGCATGAGGTGGTGTCGTTGCGGGGGAAGATCTGGGGTATCGGTGTCAATACAGTGAATCAGGGAAATGGAGGGGCTGGAACAAAGGGAGAGACTTACGCCAGTCTTTGTGCTGGTGCCAAGGTTCCAGGGAGCGCCCGTTGTGTGGCTTGGGTCACCGTAGGCGACGGCCGCAACGACTGTTGTTCAATGTCTCATGTCAGCTTCATGTCATGTCCGGACAAGGTTTGCAAGTCCTCAGTTGTTGACCCCAAAGATGATGGATGAGAAGTGAAGTGGGCGAAAAACACATACCCGACTCGTTGAACACCTCCAGGTATCCCTTGCTAGCCTGGTAATCCGAGCCCTCTCCAGGGATTCCGCCACAAACCGAGTCCATCATGGCATGCGCGCCCTGGGAGTAGCCCAGCAGGGCCACCTTGGTGTCCGGGCACTTCTCATGGTACTCAATGAGCATCTTCTCAAAGCCCATGGCTCCCTTCTCCTCCGAGGTGGTGTAGTTTTCCAAAGTGGCGGGATAGTCGATGGCTGAAATGGTCGATCCGGGAATGAGCAGGGAGACGTTCCGGGCGACAACGCCGATCCGCCCGAGACCGGGATCTTCAGTGCTGCCGCGGGCGACGATCATGTGAAGGCCGGTCGCGCAGGGCTCCTCACGGACGTAGTGGGAGACGGAGGCGGCGGCCTCAACAAAGCGGGCAACAATTGTCCACATTTTGGCGATAATGATACGAGGTTGGCTGTTTGTGGTAACGGGGCACGGTCTTTCTGGGCTGGTGTCGGTGAGTGACTGGAGCTAGGTAGGCAGCGAGTGAGTGAGTGAGTGACTGAGTGAGTTGAGGCTCTCGTGTTGTCCCGATCGACCGTATAGAGGCTGTCTTGGCGTGTCCGTGGGTACAGCTCTTCGACGATGAGAAAAGGGAAAGAGAGGAGAAAAAGAAGAAGAAGAAGAAGCAGGAACGAAAAGCACAAAAAGGGTGTGGTCAGGTGGGTTTCGTTGAGGCTTTCGGGAAGCAGGAACAAAAAATGGCCCGCCCTCATGCCACCCAACAGGGGGAGACCGCCATCAGTTGTGGAGCTGCTAAGACACAGCCAAGTTCGCTAAGATCTCGTCGGCAAGACCGGCCGGGGCTATCGTCCAACACTTTTGGCGGCCTTAGGACCAGATGTGGTGTTTACCTCCCGCTCCAGCCCGCCAAGCACAGCTTGATCCTGGTTCCCTGAATGGATCCCGTGCTACATGGCCATTTCCCACGTTTTGACGCCTCCATTTTAGGTTCGGATAATGCATGCTGTCAAAGCGTTCAACAGTCGAAACTCCCATTCGCAAATTAATCCTCTTTCGGAAAATGTCCCGCTGAGTAATGGCCCCTGATCGGGCAGTCTCAGATCCCGACGGAACAATTTGTGCCTGACACTAAAACAGACAGGCCGGGTGCGGGGAGCCGAACGGGAGTGTCAATCATGGATGTCGGTGGGCCGAGGCACGCGGATTTCGGATGTCCCCGCTCGACTCTTTTTTGCGAGAAGTGAGAAGAAGGAATTCAACGACGTACATAGAAACAAATGGCGTTTGACATTGCTAGGACCTGTGTCGAAGTTCTCTGAGCATGCAGTATCACGTGTATTGGTACAATGGATGTGAGAATGCTTGAATCGGTTAAAGAGAAGCGGAAGAAAAGAAAAGAATGGAAGTGGTGAAGAAAGAAGACACCGTTGTACACATGCCCCTGGCTTTGGGAACGTGTTTGCATCGAAATGCAATGCAGGAATTGTTAATGCATGCCACGGATGTCCGATAACCTGGGCAGACGCCCCTAGATCCGAATCTGAGGCAATCGGTCTGGCGTGAAGACGGAGGTAGGTAGGAGGAGGTTTCCCCGGCAAGGTTTTTTTTTTTTTTTTTTTTTTTTTTTTTTTTTTTTTTTTTTTTTTTTTCCCTCCCCACCATACCTACCTTTGCCGCAGGCAATTTCAACAGGGAAGAAAAGAAAAAGAAAAAAGAAAACCACACAAGGAAACGTGCAAGATAAAATAAAATAACAGGTCAGAAGGGCGCAAGAGCAAAACATACCTGACAGCACAACTTGGTAACATGTACCTAGTTCTCCCACACTAGACCAACGCAAATCGAAAACAAGACACAGGAAAAGTTGATCCAAAATGTCCCCGCTCATCATTGCGGCAAGGCAGTACCGTGTCAAACAAGGACGATGTCCTCCATCTTCATCTCAGAGAGCATCTTGTTCCAGCAGTCCAACAGGGAATTCCAAAGAAGTCCCAATTCATTCTGAACAGTACCCATTCCTACTCGTCGATAGGCCTTCCTGCCATCTGCCATGGTTACAGGTTCGACGACCAACATATAATCAGTTCCTTTCCTGGTTTCGCATTCTCTGATGAACAGAATGACATGACGCGTGAAGGCAGACGGTGGAGGGCAACTGCGTATGTCAATCGTATAGTCGAGAGTGAGGCTCCCCATTTTCCGAAGTTCACCGAGCCTTGAGTCTGTGCTATAAATTGACATTCTTCGAGAACGGCTTGCCTTCCCTGCTGCAGGATGCGCAGTGTATTTCTTCGATAGACAAAGCTGAACCACGCCTATCGGTGCGCAAAAGTGAAGCTCGGTTCCGTTGTTTTTGGCAGTTATACCTCGGTTGTCGTAATAATACCGATTGGTGTTGCGAGGCCACACGCTGGCAAACCGTTTATCGCCAACTATGGATGCCCAACTCCAGGAAGGGATCCCGGGAAGACGCGGCCCGGGCGAGTCAACAAGGTCGTTGCTCATCTCCCATAACAGCGAGCCAAGTGTGTCGCGTGCTCCAAGCCATATGCCGAATCGATTGTATTCTTGATCTTTCCTGTTAGAGGTTTTGAGGGCTGCTACAATACCAAGAAGGGCAACCAGTCTATCAGTCTCATAAGTGAGCTGCATCCTTGAATAGGAGCTCATCAACCTATTCCAGTTGTCGACCCCATGAGATGCATACCAAGCCAAAATCAGGTCGTCGACGTAGGGTTCCACCTTGTTTGCTTCTCGACACTTCCAGTACAATGATTTCTCTTCAGACCATAGAAAGCGGCGGGAGAGGCTCCATTCTTGCATCACCCATGCGCGTTTGGCCAGGGGACAGTTGGACCACGGCCTGCTGTCAGGCCAGTCCGGCACGACAAGAAAACAGGTTGCAAAGGATGCCGGGTCTGAATGACCTCCCACGTACGTGTAGACCTTGACGATTTGCTCCGGCTCCGGTCTCTGAAGACCTTTAAAAAGCCCTTCGGAGGAATTGCGAGCATACGCAGCTCCCAATGTGAGTGTCGCCCCTTCGTAGATGGAACCCATCTTGTGTGACTCTGTTTCCCAGTCTGCCGGACTGTCTTGGATGATGCACAAAGAGTCGATCCACAGGTAGCGGATTCCCAACTCTCTGGTGACCCACACAGCGTCCGCAAAAGTTTGTGGAAGGCGATCAAGCGGGATACCCGGGTGCATGTGATCCCCTATTGTATGAAGCGTTGTCTTGAGCGGTTGTTTGTCTGGAGGACCCCAACAATGGCTGAGCGCAACGTAGGGAGCTCTGGGCGTTTCCGTGGTGGTTTCGACGAGTTTGACAAGTGGTGATCCTGGAGACCCAACGTCAAGGACCCGGAAAGGCAGCTTGCTCGCATCCAAGGATGAGTTCTGGGAACCAAAACCAAATATCTTACCCGAGAGTGTGGTTCTGCACTTTGGATGATCGTCGACACACTGCCACAGCCAAGACCTCATTTGGGCAATGGTCTCTGGTCCTCTAGTGTCCATAATAGGCCTATTCCACCACACCCCCTTGAAGAGATGGGCTAAAGGTTTTGTTCCAGCCGTAACCTCTTGGGATGGAGAGTGATGTACGGCGTTACAGCTACCCACGGGCAAAGCTGGCGAACTGCTTTGCTCTGTTGCAAGCTCTAAGTGTACCTCTAGGTAGTACGTAGGTAAAAAGTGGTCAGATTCAATGCGAGTAACAGAACAACTTATAAAGATGGGAGATAGGTGCAACTGCAAGTAGGTAGGTAGAGGTAGGTAGGTAGGTAGGTGTACCTACCTCGCCATATTGGAAACATGTATTGCCCGGAATCATCTGGCAAAATGAACGTAGCCCGTCGGAATATGTCAGGAGGCGGATCGGCACATGCCCAAATTTCATCCAAGTCTAGCGGTTGGACTACAATTGGCTCTTCTGTCTGTGTGGTTTGTACAAATTCGTTCAATCGGTCCAACGTAATGACACGGACAAGCGCCTTGCACAGGTCGCACTTTTGATAGGCATCGCCTTCGAGGAGTTGTCGGACAGTCTTCCAGACGAATACATGGTAGCCATGACGGTTTGTTTCTGAAAATCTGATGGTAGACAACGGTCTGGTATTGATTTGAAGGGCCAAATTTGAACAAACCAAACATATCATTTTGTGAGGTAATCGTGGTGGAAAGTGAAAACTGTTGTAGTCGCCATGAGTTATGAAGCCCGCGAGGAAGCGAGAGGAGGAGACGAAGATAGGTAACCTCAGAGCCTCTCCAGAAGATAGTAGTGTATAGAGGTAGTAGCGAGTGGCAGTGTTCCTGTTGTTGACCTCCACACTACGACCTCTACCTCTGCCACACTCGTCAAGGACCGCCACCGTAACACGATGAACCGTGGATCAATCGAGACGGGCCGTCATGACCCGCCAACCGCATTTTCACTCGGATGTAACCCTCTTTGCCAATGCAACGCGAGCGGGCAAAGTCACGGATCTGGCCGAACCAACAAGGTGAAACGTGGATCTCTCACAGTCCAACACCAAGATCCGCGACCGGGTAATTCCCGTTCCTCTTCTTCGCATCTCACTCCAATTCTGTCATCCTTCCCGACTGCCAACGTCCGTCCCCGTTCCGAAATCACATCCACATCCCGTCTTCAGTCCCGAACCCGGCATCCAAGCCGTTCATTGTGGGAAGAAGGTAAAATGTCACTTCCCAACGCCCAACCCATCATAATTTCACCGGAGATCACCCTCCAGCCTCCGCTCACTCGTCGGGGAACGGGACCTGGATTAATCCTTGCTGTGCCGCCTGTGGAGCGAGTCGAGTCTGCGAACCGCTTCGCCCTCGAATATGGTATCATAAAGGCCAATGAAGACCAAAGCCCAAAAACGCTAGACCCCGGGCCGCTTAAGAAATGGGCTGAAGAGGGATACGCAGTTGTGCAGGTCACTTTTGATGACATGAATCCGTCAGTGCACTTTGGGGATTTGCTTGTGACAGCGCAGGAGGAACTTGAGAAGGTCAAGGAGTGCGAGGGGTCCTTGATGAAGGTTGGTCTTGTTGGTAAGTAGTACCCTCTAGTCGCTCTCGGTCTCCACCTGACATGTGTACCCTGATGTTGTGAACTGCGAAGGCACCAGGAGCGAGGTGGGCGAACACCGCGACGGCATGAGCTGAGTGACATGCCACTGATTTAGTGCACGGGGGAGGCGGCTCCGACCGCATCGCCTCCGCCCTCGCCGCCAACCCTCGCATTGTCTCTTGCGTATACTACGGCCCCTTTAACCCCTTGTGGGCAAGAGATACCTCAGTCCCCATTCTCGCGCACGTACCCAGCCCGGTCTTCCAGCGCTCCGAGGGCGAAATCAAGATGTTTGGGGAAGATCCCAAAAATTTCAAGGCTCACTACTACCCCAACTTGAAGATGTTCGATTACTTTGCACTCCCTTGGTGCGTAGGGTTCAACCCAAGCGCCGCCTCCGTCGCCCACACCCGTTCCCTCGCCTTTATGAAGCCGTTGCTTGGAGGACCTTACTTTGACTTGGAAGCCATCTGGGACGAGCACACAAAGTACGAGTTTGAGGATCGCAGCGTTGACAAGACCATGGCCACCATGGTTGACCAGCCCTACGTCAACCACATCCCGACGCTAACGGGTGGCATTGGGAGGGAAAACTTGACCAAGTTTTACCGGGACCACTTCATTCACAGTAATGCGAGAGACGCGAAGTTGGAGCTGGTGAGCCGGACAGTGGGCATCGATCGGATTGTTGATGAGTTCTTGTTTAACTTTACTCACAACAAGGTGGTTGATTGGTTGTGAGTATCAGCCTGCGTCTCCCTTCCCTTTCATGCAACAGCAGGTCTAACGGAAGGGTAGAATCCCCGGCATCCCCCCAACCCACCGCAAGGTAAGCATCCCGTTCACGAGCATCGTCAACATCCGCGGCGATAGGCTATACCATGAGCACATTGCTTGGGACCAGGGGACCGTCCTCAGACAGCTAGGATTGTTGCCCGAGTACCTACCATTTCCGTATGCGTTGCCGGGTGGACGACAACCGGGAGAGGGAGGAAAGAAGTTCGAATATCGTGTCCCGGTGGCCGGGGTGGAGACGGCGAAGAAGTTGGTGGATGAAAATGCGGTCGAGTCGAATGAGATGCTTGGATATGGGGTTCGAGAGGTGCCGGGTGAGTGATCACCCTCGAGTATTGATGCTTATTGTGGGAATGCCGGATGACATGACCGTCATGACGTATCAACCTCCCCTGCAAAAGGTTGTTGGTCGTTAAGGTTATGTTAGCGCGAGGCACGGAAGGGCTCGGTTATCGGGAAGGATGCCGACGGGATGGCTGAAGATCGATAAGCACCAGCAAGGTTAATGTCTGTCTGTCAGCTTTGAACGGTTCCTGAGGCTGTAAGACCCGTTCATTGGACAATGGGCCTCTTGTGAGGGTGTAGCACCGCGGAGGGATGGGGTGTTACCCCATGTTCATAACATGAGTTGTATGGTTGATCATCTGTTGGTTCAGCCTTGTGGTCTGGCGGGGATGAAGGCGGTAACAATTAGTGATGAGCGGTCAGGTCGATGGTTCCTTTGTTGACTCGTTAAACACAAGATAATCCGAAGAATGGGACCGTCTGTAGTAGTAGTTCTTGACTAGACACAACCATGGGAGATGTTGAAGTCGGGGGATCTTGGTTCAACCTGAGTCAGTTCCGCGACTCTCGACGTCGGAGGACCATCTGCGAGCAGTGCCTGGCAGGGAAGCGGCGACGAGAAAACCAGGGTTGTTCGAAACAGTATGACGGGCCAATGAGAGCCTGTCTTTTTCGAGATGGCAATAAAATCAGGCCGGGGCTGGGCAAGTATCAAGAAGTCACTGAGTATCGCTCTCAGCTTTAGTGGTGTTGATGTGTGAGGTAACCATGACCAAAGAATCACAAACACGAAGGCCAGACGCGTTTCAGGGGTTTACGAAAGTTCGCGAAGAGGTAAACAAAGCGTGGTGACTACACTGTTTGTCAAGTCTTGTGTGAGGCTTGAGTGGTTCATGCAGCTCATGACGGGATAAACCTCGAATGTCGCCTGGGAGACTGTATGCACACGCTTTGACGATGGCGGGGGGAGCGGGGAGAGAAGGCGTCTATTGTGTGTGTGGGAGGTAGGAAACAGATTCATCAACGGAGATACAGAAGAGGTCCTTGAATGATGGATGGATCGTAGTGTGTGTTGGACCAAGGGTTTAGGTAGTTGTCCTCTCTCCAAGGTGGGTGTAAAAAGACACGACAATCAAGTTCGGAAATTGTTAGCGAGGTACATCAGCAACAACTGACCAAGCCTCGAATCGAATCAAAGACGTCACGGGCCAAGTCACGTTTCCTGACGAAAAAGGTGGAGAGCTCGGCCTCGCTGGGGAAAGTCCAGTCGGCACACAGGGCGTCCAGCGGGCGAAATTACTGGGTCAATACGGCCCGGGGCCAATGGGGGGGGCGTCGTTGAAAGTTTGCAAACCGTCGTCACCAGTCACCGCGTGCTGAAATCTGCAAAGCGCAACCCGGCGCCCCAGTCGCGAAAGTTTCAAGCTTTGATACCAAGCCGTGACAAATTTACCGTACGGCTCCCCCAGTCTTTTGCACCATTTTCGCCCTGAACCCACCGCGAATAATTGTCGCATTTTACGCCTTTTTACACGGCACCCACCCACCAACTCTGACCTCGCTCCTCACGCAGTCTCAGCAAAGCCAAGCGCCAGTGCAGACTTCTTTTCTTCGCAAGAGTCCAAGTCAGTCAAAGTCCACTCAGTCAATTGACCTTTTTTTCCACTCGTCCACCTCCACCACCACCACCGCCACCACTACCACCACAATCTCCTCGCTTTGCACACGCACACACACACACACACGCGCTACGAGCAGTACGTTGTCCACCGTCACCACCACCACTAGCATCATTTTCATCATCACCATCTTCCTCAATCAAGATGCCTACGCAGCTACCATCGAGCTTTGCCTCTGCGGCCGCCGGCCAAACCACCAGAGGAGACGCCAGATCCGGTGCCCGAGGCGATTCCGTCCGAGGCGCGGGCAGCGGCGAATGGTGAGCATCCAGCCCATGTCTACCTACCTCTACCTACGCTATGCAGTATACACCATCTACACTTCAAGCATGGATCAGTACTAGCTCCGGTCCAGTTGTCTTCTTGCGTGGAGGCGGGGGAGAGAGAGAGAGAGATGAGGACCGAGGGGCATCTTCTCCCATCTCTTCCTTCTCGTGTGGCAGAAACCAGGGCAGAGACAGATGAAATATCTTCCCACTTCGCCATACACACGAGACACGTCTATCTCTTTCCTCTCTACCCACTCTACCCCTCCATCCTCCTCCATTCTGATCCCCACCATCACATCATCGCTAGTGAAAACAAACCTCAATGCGAACTGAACACCAGCCGCTGACACGTCACCACATCTCCAGGGCTCGTTCGAACGGCACCAGAACCTTCCGCCGCTCATCCACCACCCCCTTCAACAACCAGTCTGCTGCCGCTAGCAACCCGACTGATGCCACACAGAACCCCGCTCTAGACAGTAACAGCATCAACAGCATCAGCGCCGCCTCGCAACCCGCTCCTCCCGCGCCCGACCAGCACCAGCAGCAGCAGAACAACCAGCAGCAGCAGCAGCAGCAGAACACGGGTCCCCTCCGCTACTCCAAGGACGAACTCTACGAGATCTACAAGCATAGTGCCGAGGCAGCCAACAACATCGACATGTCGTCCCTCTTTGCGCCCTCGTGGAATCCCAACCAGACTAACGGCACAGCTTCGCGCGTGTGGGGCAAGACCAGCGATTCCCCGCATGTCCCCCAAGATCCTACCGTCTGTTGGGATCCGAACGGCACCGTCAAGCCCATCGGCCTCGAGCCCATGACTGCAGAGGAGCGCGACATGTTTGCCACCGACGTGAACTCGACCTTGAAGCCGCCCCAGCAGCAGAACAAGGAGGGCGTGCAGGGTATACAGAACGGCGGACGCAAGACCTCCATTAGCGCCAACACGAGCAACTTCTCCACAGCTTCGCCCGCCACTGCTTCGAGACCCGCCACCCGACGCCGCGAGACCGTCGACACGAATCCCTTTCCGAGCTCGGCCGTTGCCTCCCCGACCACTGCCGGCCGTTTCCCTCGAGACGATCCCTGGCTCCCTCGCCGGAACACCGATCTGAGGGAGTCCATCGCCGACGAACCCGCCGAAGAGACCCTCCCGACGAGATCGCAGCCTTTCGGTCTCACTAGGTCCAATACTGCTGGGTCTAGTGCCTTTGGCAGCTCTGCCTCGCTGTGGGGTCCCGCCGCGACCACCCCCGGCGCGGGCATCGGTGCTTTTGGTAGCTTCGCCTTGAACACCACGTCCGCGATCGGGGAAAAACGTTTTGGTGGCACGGGGGGAAGTCGTCTGGCCCATTTGATTCCCAAAGACTCGAACGATAATGTGGCTGCCAATAAGGGAAACGAGTCTGCTCCCGGTACTGATACCAACCGTGGTTGGAGACCCCGCCAGCGTACTGATACTGACCCCTTTGGGCCTGACGACAGTCTGACCGGCAGCGCCATCCTCGGCGGGGCGCAGGACAACAGTCCGCCCGCGTCGTCTCTCCAGCGCAGCGGCGTCTTCGATACTCCTGTCAAGGGTAACAGCGGCGATTTCGGCATGTCGGCTCTCAATCTCGGCAACAACCAGAGCGAGCAGGGAAACGGGCCCGCCAGCCCCTCCGAAACGAACCCGTATCGCAGCCCGCTAGCCGAGCGTGGCGATGAGGGCCATGACGACGCCGAGATCGATCGACTTACCCACAACGCTGCCGGGTCCGAGCCGCAGTCCAACTTCAGCACCCTGTCTCGCGCCTTTGGGGGTGCCCCTTTTGATGGCAGCGACCGCAGCCAAACTTCGAGTGTTGGCGCCAAGGGCTTCCCGACTGTCAACACTCTCGGAGGATGGCCTACTGCTCCTTCGGTCGGTACTCCCGATCGCGAAAGACAGCCCTTCAACAGCGCTTTTGGAACCAGCATCTTCAGCCCTATTGGTGATTTGCAGTCTCCTGGCTTTGGTGGCCTTGGCGGTTTTGGCGTTGCTGGTGGTTCGGGACTTGGCCGTGCTAACAAGCTCAGCTCTTTGTTCCCTCCCGCCATGCAGGCTCAGATGCATACTGGCCACGAGCAGGAGAACCTGAGTGATTCTGTTCCGGACCTTAGACAGGCCAACCCTCTTGGTGCTATCGGACGTGGTGCTATTGGTACTCAGCCTCGCGATGCCGCTAGCCCCATGAGAGCTGGTAGAGGTGCCTTTGAGGACCTGTTTCCCGGTACCGATGCTATGAAGTCGCCCTTCACCAGCGGCGAGCACCAGCCTGGTCTGACGTCTACGGCGCCCTCTTCGGGTTTCCCCGCCACCGCGGCCGGTCCCGCCTTTTCGGCTACCCCTACCGCTGGTGAGCCTGGTCAACAGCAGCAGCGTACCATGGTCATGCCTGATCGCATGCGTTGGGTCTACCTGGATCCTCAAGGACAGATGCAGGGACCCTTCTCTGGCTTGGAGATGAATGACTGGTACAAGGCCAACTTCTTTTCGCCTGACCTCCGTGTCAAGCGTGTGGAGGACCCTGACTTTGAGCCTCTGGGTCAGCTTATCCGGCGCATTGGTAACTCCCGTGAGCCCTTCCTCGTTCCTCAGATGGGCATTCCTCACGGACCCCCGCCTTCCGCCGGTCCTTTCGCTCTCGGCGGTGCTGCTGAGGCCATTCCTCCCCTTCAGGGTGCTTTCCCGTCTTTCGGCAGAACCTTGACCGCTGCTCAGCAGAACGACTTGGAGCGTCGTAAGCAGGAAGAGCAGTTGTATCACGCTAGGCAGCGGGAGTTCCTGCATCATCATCAAAGCTTCGGCCGTCTTCCTCTCCAGCCTGGTATCCCCGGAGCTCTGCACCACCATTCTAGCGCCCACAGCTTGCAGAGCCAGCCTAGCTTTGGCAGCATTACTTCCCCCATTGGTATGCCGCAGCCTCCCATTGGTGCTATTGGCCCCAACTCCGGCTTTTTCGAGGCTCCCGTTAGCCTGGGTCAAGCCCCTGCCCAGCCCGGCTTGGGTCCCGATCTCTTCGCTTCTGACCTGAACTTGGGTGAGCGCCAGTTGCTGGCTAACTTGC